GTTAATAATAATGTAGTTTACATATAAAACTATGTAATAGAGTTGAATAATTTATTATAAATTTAAACGGTATTTCTATTCGGTATAGAAATAAACCAAAAATGTATAGACCTTTTATTATTTGATATTGAATAATTAACTTAACTTTAATACGCCCAACAAAATGCAGTATCTAGAAACCGCAGTAAAGGAGACATTTCCGACCCTATAAAGTATATATATTCTTGATCAGCATCACTAGAGAGAGAGTCGATCTAGCCATGTCCGTCTGTCCGTCCGTCGGTCCGTTCGTTTCTACGCAAACTAGTCTCTCAGTTTTAAAGCTATATGTATGATCGAAAACGCTTTCTTCTACTTGTTACGTAATTTTCTACGATTTCAATATATGAAGCGTGCACCATACTTTTGGCTGCATTAGACTACTAAAAGTTCATATCCTTTAAATTAAATTAGGTTTAAACTCAATCAAAACCGCGCGAAATTGGTAGTTTATTAATCAGAAATATATTTTTAAAGGCATCAATTATGAAACAATTAAGAAATAAAAGCTAAATTTAATTTTTTAATGTTATGTTAATCAATTCCAATTTTCATATCTTTTTTCTAGAAATTTTGACTTTTAATTCAATATCGTTGCGTCCTTAAAAATATGCAAAAAATCCATCCAATGAAATTCTTTGAAAGAAGGGCCTAATTTTGTCCATATCTCGTGCTCGTTGGCCAAGTTTTATTTAAAAAACAGTTGAAATTTTTACTTCCAGTCTACTATTGGCATTGAATAACTTTTGAATTACTGTGGCTAGAAGACTTGTTAATAACTGAAACTGTTTTATCATATTCTCCATTAATACCTCAAATCATGTTTGACGGCAGATTAACTTGAATTAAAGGTGCTTGCTTACCGCGAAGTACGCATAAATAAATCCCTGTGTAGAACTTTTTGGATAGTGTGATGACCCAACATGGTCACATAAACAGGCTTGTAAGTAAAAAACTTTCGATCTCCCTTAAAATTATTAACGATCTGATTTTGACTTCATGGTACCAAAATCGAGAAGGCAATAAAGTCAATACAATCAAGTTGGCCACAGGTTTTGAGTATTGATAGTAGCGCTTACGAAGTGACAATATTGTTCAATGTTGACTGAAAAATAATTCAAAACCATAAAAATAATATTAAATTCGCTTAATAATCATTTGCCTTTCGGTGCATTTGAACTAGATGCCCCAGAAAAGAAAACGAAAAAAGCATTCAACGTACGTGTATAAGTAGAAAAAATAAAGAGCTCGAAAAAATTATTTCATCTTGCCCTTGTGAAATTTATTGAGTGAGAAAATTGAACATTGATAGACTACGTGAACCTTTAACTGATAAGATGCCAAGGCCAAAACTAGGAAGGCAAACGAATGTAAGGAAAGATAAACATTCTTTAAATATGTTTACACTTACTTGACTTACTGCACTTGACTTTTTATTGTGCAGCCAGCATTTCTTCTTGCTAATCTGGTAAAATCGCAGTTCCAGCAGCGCCATTTAGTCCCACCTCATGAGAGGAGAGCAATGCGCTCAGAATCATGGAATGAGGGAAATGTATTCGAAGCCACGTTTTGGCCATTTTGGCACGACAGAGGCCCATGAGTGTATTATTATTTGTGGGTTCATAAAAGTTTTAAATGTACAGTGTGACACAAAAGTATTCGTTTTTCATGTGAAAAATAACAACTTTAAACGTGTAACAATTTTGAAATGTTAAAAAATGGATTACGTTTCCAAAGATAAATATTTTGTTTAGTACATGACACAAGAAACTAATTTATCCACCAAAAGTATTTAAATATATATAGTAATGGTTACATTTTTCAGAATTACGGTTTAAATTTCATCAAAATCAAAATGCCATAGAAATAATAAAAAAATTAAAAATAACAATCTAATAATTGAGCTGCAAGTCATCATTGCTTCAATGCTTTTAGACATATACGCAAGTAAATCATAATTTTAATATTTTCAAAAATATTTAATTCTTGCTATAGCTGCAAGGGTATATGAACTTCGGCTTGCCGATGTTTGCTTTCTTTTTTGTTTAAGCTGATGCAGGACAATGCAGAGTCCAACAAGGCTTTCAGAGAGCTGGTCCAGGTTCTCATTGCGCGATTGCCGAAATGATTCAACCAGCATTAAATTTCGGATTGTGGAACGCTCGTGGGTTAGTCAAAGTATCTGAAGAGCTCCGAATATTCCTCAGCGCTCAGGTGAACCCACTTTATACTCGTATAGCCCCCTGATAACACCGGCAGCGCTTGACTTTTTCATAACCAATGGATACGTTTCAGACAGGACGTTTCAAGTAAGGACGCTCCATGACCTCTCTTCGGACCATACTCCAATCCTGGCCATACTGCATGTCACACCTGTGAAAAAACCACAGCGTCCACGACTCCTGACGCTTTCAAAGCCTACCTAGAGCAGCTGAGCGAGGTAAACTTAGACATTCAGGATCCTTCTAACATTGGCAATGCCATCAGCCTTTTCATGCATAAATCAGGCTGCTGAGATAGCTGCAACCAGAAGAGAGACCTCTAGACATCAATAGCTTCCTCCCAGAATTGTGACACTTCTCAATCTAAAGCGAAGTGTTAGAAGAGAGTATGCAAGAACAGGAGACGCCCGTATGCATCAGATACACAATCGGCTGGCTAATTGTCTAAGCAAGGCGCTCGCAGAAAGAAAACGAGAATCTATAGACAGCTTTTTGGAAAACCTGGATACAGATGCTAGTTCTAATTACTCGCTGTGGCGCATCACGAAACGGTACAAGGCTCAGCTCACCCCAAAATCGGCTATCAGGTGGCTGGTGCCGTACGAGCCTAGAGAAAGCTGAAGCGTTCGCTAACAACCTCGAGCAACATTTTAAGACTTACGACTATTCGCCTGAAAGCATACGTGAAACAGTTGAAGAGTTCCTGGAATCTCCATTCCAAATAAGCCTGCCTGCTAGCCCTGTCTCACTGACAGAGGTGAAAAACCTTATGGGAAAACTTTCACCAAAGAAAACTCCCGGTGAAGACCTTTTGAACAGCAGGACGATTCGACTGTTACCGGATCAGGCCTTGCAGTTCCTGGTGTCGCTATTCAACCGCGTACTAACTGTCGGATACTTTCCAAAAGCGTGGAAATCGGCGAATATAATTATGGTCTCAAGTCCTGGAAAATTGCCGACTGACGTGGACTCTTACAGACCGATAAGTGTTCTACCACCCCTGGGAAAGTCATGGAAAGGCTGATTCTGAACAAGCTGCGATTCCGGAATTCCAGTTCGGCTTTCGTCTTCAACATAGAACTCCAGAGCAGCTGCATAGAGTTGTCAACTTAGCTTTAGGAGCCTTGGAGAAGAAGGATTAGGCAGTTGCTGCTTCCTTGACATACAGCAGGATTTCGACAGAGTGTGGCACCCTGGGCTCCTGTACAAAGCCAAAACTCTGTTTACGCCGCAGCTATTCCAGCTCGTGAAAAGCTTTCTGGAAGAACGCACTTTCCACGTATCTGCTGATGGATACAAGTCGTCCACCAAACCGATCTCTTCCGGAGTTCCCCAAGGTAACGTCCTCGGCCCTACTCTATACTCTATCTATGCTTCAGATATGCTTACGCAAACTCTAATAACTGAAGTTGAAGGGCAAGATGTGCTAATTGCAACCTACGCTGTAATCGCGAAAAGCAAAAGCATCTTGGCTGCCACATTTGCATTGCATATCTGGACGCATTTCACCAGTGGACCATGAATTGGAACATACGAGTAAACGCAGACAAAACAACTTCAAATTTTCTTTGTAATGGGCCCATTATTGATGTAAGCGCCCAGTTATATATATATTCTTGATCAGCATCACTAGGCGAGTCGATCTAGCTGTCCGTCTGTCCGTCCGTTTATATGCAAACTAGTCTCTCAGTTTTAAAGCTATCTGCATGAAACTTTCCCAAAAGTTGTCTTTCTATTGCAGGTAGTATATAAGTCGGAACAATCGGAAAAATAAATGAAAAAAATTATAATTTTTCTGTTTTTTAATTTTTTGTTTAGTCCTTCGACATTTAGTAATGGTTAAATATTTCCGATTTACGGTTTAAATTATATCAAAATCGAACGACTATAGCATATAGCTCCCATAGGAACAATCGGAAAAATAAATGAAAAAAATTATAATTTTGCTGATTTTTAATTTTTTGTTCAGTTCTTCGACATATAGCAATGGTTAAATATTTCAGAATTATGGTTTAGATTTTATCAAAATCGGACATCTATATCATATAGCTCCCAGAGAAATAATAAAAATATATAAAATAACTATCAAATAATTGAGTTGCTAATCATCATGGCTTCAATGTTTTTAAACATATACGCATTTAAACATATGGACGCATTTTTTTTGACTTTCAAAAGTTTATCCTAAGTTTCATGGCTTACATCTTTGCCGCAGTTAGAGTCTACCAGACTATTATCTACTATGTCTATGTTGAACAAGTCTTTGTCAAAGCTCTCCTCATGAATATCCATATTTTATTGTTGTGACTTTTTGTTGCTTCGTTCTCATTTGTAATACAATTTTTTAACTCCAGTTCTTGACTAGTTAAACATTTTTTCTAACAGCTATATGTCCTAACAGTTTATCAAAATCAGTTTCATTTCCCAAGAATTTATCAATATCAGGTTCATTTCTTAAAAGCTTATCAATAAGAGTCACATTTTCTAACAATTTAACATTAACAGTTTCATTCACCTTATAGTTTATCAATAACAGTTTCATTCCCTAACAATTTATCAATAACAGTTTCATTCCCTAATAATTTATCAATAACAGTTTCAATCCCTAACACTTTTTCAATAACCGTTTCATCATTTAAATCTTGTGTCCTAATAGTCTTCAGTTTAAATAACGGCTTATCGTAGCTTAGATCGGTATTATTAATTACTTCATCTGTCGTATACTGTCTATTTTGTAAATTTAAATTTTCATTTTCGAAAAATTCACTTTACTTTCATTCTTAAACACAAACAACGCGTTTTTCCATAAGCGTTAAGACAACTGTTATTTCAACCATAATATTTAATATTTTGTTTGGACAACGTAACTCCAACTGGGACCAAAGATTGCTTAATGAACGAAATAGCACTTCCAGAGTCTATGAGACATTCTGCAATTACAGGGGAGCTTAAATTTTGTACGAAAAAAAATTTTAAATTTCTTACATAATTGTTATTGTTATTAAAACTCTTCCAAGGTTCTCTCTAGGACTTGCGACAGTCCTTTGCGTAGTGACCCCTCGAGTTGCTGTTCCAACAGCGATGGTCATCTCTGCCTGGCGGGTTTGTGGAATTCGAAACGCCTTCATTGTCATATGTTCTCGAATGCTTGACGCATTTCCTTTGTGTTTCCAAAGCATTGTATGCAAGCCTGGTCTCTCAAATTCGAGGAAGGTACGCCTTCGATGATTTGCTCCATTAATTTCCTCGAGATACATGGCAAATCTTTTGCCTAGTTGCCAAGTACGCTTCTCGAATTGTCGTCGCATCTCCGACTTGGAGTTCAGCTCACCAAATGGCATGACCAGCCGATCGCAACTGCTCCGGCGACGCCTTCAGCAGGATCGATTTACAGTCTAAATTTTCCGTGGCGTCAGACTTATCCCACATCTGATTTGTGACAGCACGTCTGTCTTTTCTTTCTTTCAATCACGAACTGACTTAATTTACCGAGACCTCTCTTCTTAACAGAATCATGTTACGTTAACATAGCTGTCCTACTACAAACTCAAAGTTGCAAGACTCGAGGTTTTGTCTTTAAAAACAAAATATCAGAAAAAAAGGCAAAAAGTGTCGATTCTAACCATATACATTTCAACAAGAATTAAATACTCCACAAATCTCAAAAGGTTTTGGAAGTGGACTGCGCTGGACTCACTTTGTTGCTCTAGTTAAAAGATAGTTTTCTAACTAAAAAAAAGTGTGTGAGACAACTTTAACGCTTAATTATATGGACAACAGGATAGATTTTAACCGTTTAAACACACAAACTCTTAGAACGCACCACCATTCTTCAAATTCATTTAACAAAATCTTAAAACGGTTTTCTATTGTTTATTTATGAACTTTTAAACTGCAATGTAAAATTAGAATTTCAAATATCTGAATCTGAATCAGAATCTGAATATCTGAATATCTGAATATAAGCGCCCGCTACGGAATTTCTGACTTTAAATTGCAAATTGGTCTTCGGTTAATGTAAACAAAAATCAACATTTTTTTGTTTTGACGACATTTCAAAAATGGGTTTTGGCTAACAAATGTGGTCGTTGGCCCCATAATGCAGAGGGTGCTCGTGTAAATGGGTCTCCTCAACTTTTGCTCTACAACTCTTTTAAGCGGCTGTGTGCTGACGCTATAAAACGTTCTTACTAATAATATAAGTGTTAAAAAATGTACTGTTGCGGTTAACGAGAAAATTGCCTTTGCCGCTTCACCTAAATACTTTTTGAAGTTATCTCTCTTTGTTTCCTTTTTGTGTATAGGTTTCAAACTACCGAAACATAGATAAAATGTTAAGATCATTTGGCCGACACATGTTTGCAGCAGCAAAAGATTCTATATTGCTGACAACAATCAGCTTGTAAGCATACTTCGTTTTTACATGCAATTCGATAAGAAAACAAGGTACCTTAGACAAGCAATGTTCACAAATGACATAATGGGAATAATATTATCACTTCATCAAAAGTGATTTTCGAATTAGATAACTGGCTTCTCGTTAAGTAAAAATTAATTAAAGACTTTGTTTTCTTTAATATCACTGTATAACTTGGATATCTTGAAAAACAGATATTTGTATGTTACCGTATTTTTAAAGTGTAATTCACGATTTAAACTTGTTCATATCAAAAAATTTTTCAATAATTATCCGTAAATTATTCGTGAAAAATTAAAATTGGCCGCTCAATTTATTTAAAACTTATTCAAGGTTTTGATAAACCTGATATCAAGTTAGCAGTACACCAACACTAATCTTTAACATTTAAAAAAAATTTTTTGCAGGAATTTGCCGTTACTTATCCGAAAACTGTTCGTTAAAGAATCAAATTTGCCTCTGTTGGTATAAACTGGCAGAGGGTATTTTAATTTCATTCAGAAGTTTGTAACGCAGTGAAGGACACATTTTCGATCCTTTCCAGTATATAGATCCTGGATCAGCATCCCTAGAAGAGTCGATCTAGCCATGTCTGTCCCTCCGAACATCCGTTCCACGCAAACTAGCCACTCAGTTTGAAAGCTATCTGCATGAAACTTTCCCAAAAGTTGTCTTTCTATTGCAGGTAGTACATAGTCGGAACGAGCCGCATCGGACGACTCTAGCATGTAGCTCCCATAGGAATAAAGGAAAAAAAAATAAAAAAAATTTTAACTTTGCTGTTTTTCGGACGACTATATAGTCTAGCTCCCATTAGAACAATAAAAATATTAAAAAAAAATTTTTTTTATATGTAATATTTGTGTTTTAAACTTTTTTTAAATTCTTTTTGACTTATTAATAATTTTCAGAATTATGCTTTAGAAAATGAAATCTTGTTTTTTGTCAATTACCACTTTTGGTTCAAAGTTAAATTTAATTTTTTTGCCATAAACTTAGATAAACCACTTTTGGTTCAAAGCTAAATATAATTTTTTTGCCATAAACTTAGATAAACTTATAATAAAAACAAATATTTGTAGTAATTTTTTACGAGCTCTAGTCTATCCATAAGCGGGAATCTCAAAGATTAAGACGTTGTGTACTCCATAAGTCCGCCATTTTGTAAAAGTTGTGTATCATCTTTTGTACTAACTTTGGAAATGTACCAACAAAAAATATCGTGAAATAACGGTTTTTACCGATATTTTCCACTAAATCGGTCTTGTCTATTTATTTATCGTTATCAACACCAGAAGGACGTGGATCCTGACAACTTGAAGACGATCGGGGCTTTTCGGAAGTACAGTCATTGTAAAAAAATTGGAAAAAAAATTCTTTTATAAAAAGTCTTACTCGGCAGCTAGAAAAAAAACTACTTTCGGGAAAACACTTTTAAAGGTAAATTATGGTGTATAACTTAGATGAAAAAGCTACAATACGGTAAAGAGGAACATGCGAAAAGATATTTTTCGTCCAAATTAACCGTTTACATGTATATCCTTAAAAGAAATTTTAAACGGCTTAGCCTTTTAGCTTTTTTTTTAAGCAACATGAAATCAGGAGAACAACTGTGTGTTACACTTTGACTTAAATGTTATTTAAATATTTGTTATATATTTGAACTTTAATTAAAATTAATTTTAAGAAGTAGAACTTTGAAAACGTCTTTTAGTTTGCAGCAGTGCTTATGTCGTTTTATGGTACAAACAAAACCAGAAACGAAAAGGGAGAAAGCAAAGGCAAGAAATCACTTAACCTTTAAGCAACCCCGACACATGCGAAATTGGATTGGGACGGATTGTGACCCTTTTATCGAACTTGAACTCAAATTCAGTCGGCGGAAAGCAACGGAGTACGAGCTTATGCGGAACTGGAGTCAAACGGAATATAAATCATTTTAATGATTTTTTATCCAGCACGAGCAACCAGAAGACGAGGAAATTTTGTGTGATTTCTGTCTGCAGGATGGAATCGGAAATTTTTAAATTCTTTAAAAAACATCGGTGCCAATTTGGTTATACTGGTTTTTGTAAAAGGGTAATATTGAGAAACAGCAAAGTAAGGTCGATTTTTTAAATTATTTTCATAATAATTTTCTTATTTTTCCTGTAACAAGTGTGTGCAAAATAAAACTAGTCTAAAAAAAACGATATATATAAATGATTTTTTATAACCGTAAGAATTGTTGGCAGTAAAAAAGATGCATTTCTTCCGGCCAAATATATTCTAGAGCTAGTTTTAAAGTATGTGTATGAAATTCTCTTAAAAAGGGTAGTGTAAAAGTCGAGTCCGGTCGGACGAATATATTATATAGTTACCAAAGAAACTTTTTGTTTTTAGGCATATACGAAAAAAATTGAAATTTAGTCGTTTTATTGAATATTTTTTTTGGAATGGCTGCAAGGGTATACAATTTGGGCTTGCCAAATGTTTGTTTAATACTAAATTAATATCATTATATTGCATAATTATATAGTTCAGTTATTAAAATGAAATGGGCAACGTAACTGCAATCATTTTACTAATAACTTAAGCTTTGCGAATGAGATACGAAATTCAATAATTATTTAAGTTTTGTTTTTTCCTGCTGTAATGGAAGTAATTTCAAACAAATATTGTCAGCATTCAACATGTTTTAACAACCCCTTTAACTAGGAAAAAATTAAAATTGCCCGATATATATGACACAAGACAGGACGGTGCGTTCGACCTCAGCGCTTATTATGACGACGAACAGGGCACATTAATGCTGATGAGATGTTGCCGCTAAGTAGCATTCCCAGTACCCATTTCATTCTCATTTACAGTCCCATGTCGGTTACCCAGGGCATCAGGCGGCAAGTCTGTCGACTAGAGCGGATGTGGAAAATTGGTGACCCCCGCGAAACAAAAAGAATCTTAGCGGTTGCTAGGCCAGCACCACATTCTCTTACCTGCTTCCACCTCATGGCTGTCTTTCCCTCTTGACTTTGCAATTAAATATGCACATTCTCATTAAAAGTTTGCGCCATTAATAAACGCCAACAGGGATGTAATTTAATACGGTTAAAAAGCACAACACGTGTAGGGTAAGAGGAGCCGAAAGTCAGTCATGAGGTGGGTGGGAATTCGCACACTGCATTACATTAAACATGCAGACATGTGAGAAGCGCTCCGCCCACCTTTCGCTCCCCTCGAACGGAATAAAGCTCATAAAATTTGCAAATGTAAATAATTTTCTTAACGAATTTTCCCCGTTTCTGCCGTCTGTCCTTTTCCGGGCCTTAGGTCCTTGTGTCCTGGTGTCCTGCTCCACATTAAAGCCCGCCAGGCTCTGGCTGCAAATTTGTCAACTGGCAGGCCGCATAGAACAAGACACGGCACATATGGACAGCGCTGGAGCCGGCTCCGCCGCCTGACATAAATGATTAATAATTGAAAATGCCTCACGGGAATGCTGTTCCATTGCCTTCTTGTGAACTTTGCCAGCCAACAACTTGGCCCTAATATTGAAGCAGGTCTTTGCCATGTCGTAGTCGGCGTGCACCCTACATGCGAAAGGTACATCTGTCTTGACATGATACGAATTTCTGCGCTTCCAAGATTCGAAGAATCGAAGGTATTTCCCGAAACAATGGCTATCAATCTCAATTTAGAAACGAACGTTTTGGTAATTACGAAAAGTGGATTCGATAAGATAAGACCGAAATTTACACTCACGTAAACAATTTGCTAATATACGAATCTGGTTTTACAAAACAAGTTCCTTTTTACATTTGCGTTACCCTCCTCACAGAGCAAGTTCAATATTTTCTTTAAATTTCTATCTTTTTCGCTCCACACACACATTTTCCTCCAGCCTGAAGCCACTCTGAACATTAATTGCAAACAACCAGGCGCTGCGATGGTAAATTGTTGACAGCTCGCTTTCTTGGCCCGACTAGTGTGCACTCCCTTGTTGGCTGGTTTCTTGGTCCAATTCTAGCGGGAAATTAAAGTAAAAGTTTACGATTCTTAGCCCTACGCACTTTGAGCACTCCCACGCTCTGGCCCCTCCCGAATTGGCTCACATGTACATATGTGGGGCGAAATTGTTGCTCATTATGTATTTATGTCAATTTCTGTTCTGACTCTCCTGTGTGTGCTGGGCCGCAATGACATGTAAAACCTTTTTGGCGAGCCTGGGCCCTCGAGTGTGTCTAAGGGTGGAGGGCGATTTGGGACTCCTGGCACCTGGCCAACAAGCATTTAATGACTTTGACTTGCTCTCTTTTGGGCCGCTTTTAGCCGCTTTTAGCGTGTAAATTCACTCTACATTTCCGAGCTGTTACAATTTTTACTCCTTCGGCAATCGTAAATGTGTGAGTATGGTTTTGCGAGCATATTTCAGGTATTTTTATTTCAGCGTTACTTTTTATGTAACTCGCAAGCACACACATATGAACACGTCTTTTCACCGCAGTTGTGTTTTGCGTGTTTTTATATTCTCCGTGTGGCGAAACCGGAAAAATAAGTAGGAATGGGTTTCTTAGCCTGCGAGGCGATTTTCGGCCAAAATATTGCAAAGGGATTTGCTTTGGCTGCCTTGCTAAATTTGTATGCCTATGAGTGAGGGGATAATAAATAATAAGTTTTTATTCAAACACACATAGATCACATATTTTCTGTAGGTTCAATGTCACAGTGCTGCGACGCATACATATTGTGTAATGGTCTGAAGTCTTAATATGTTGGCATTAACTCACACTTTATCCGGTTACTCGAAGGCCA